ACCTCCGGGGTAGGCGGGAATCGAACTCAAGCGGAAGTGGCTTTAGCTTCTCAGTGCTGTGCTTTAACCCTCTGCGCCACTAGGGAGGGCCCGGATTTTTGTTTTTTAAAGGAAAAAGGTCTGACAGAACAAAAGTGACACAACAGTTCTCTGATGATTTAGTTTATTTAACTTTCATTGAAAACTGGCTTTTTGCCTCGCTTGGCAGCATGGAATTTCTGAGTTCTAGATATAACTGTGTTGATGATTTAGACTTACCTTGAAGGGATGTATTCATTCATTAGTTTATTCAACTCACATTTTATGAAGAAATAAATAGATGAATAATAATAACATGTCAGGTGACAATAAACATGGGAAGAAAAGCAAGAAGTCAGAGGTGGAATGAAGGGATGTTTTTTATATAGAGATGCCTGGAAAGGGTTTTTCTATTTTCAAGTGATTTCTAAATTAATGTTACCTCAATAAAAAAAAATAACTATTTCTGAGCAGAATTCTATTGAGAAATGATGAAAAGAGAGACTCAAATGTAGATCTAGAAAAAAAATTCCTAGTATTTATAACCCGATACAAGGACCTTGGAGCAGGTGTGAACCAGAAGAGACAGTAGAAGTTGATATAGAGAGTAATGTGTGGAGTCGTGTAGCCTGTCATTAGAACTTAGTGTTCATCTCTAGAGAGAGAGAAGCCTTTGGTGAGGTTAGATAAGGTGGGGTAGGATGTATATTATTCACAATAGTTGTGTAACGCAGTGTATGGGCATAAATAAAAGTAAATTTGCTCTTATGCAGCTTCCATATTAAAGTAAGAATTCTTAAAACTTAACATCTTTGTAAATACTGTAATGAGTAACACATAACTAGAAAAATGTTTGGAAGTTAGAGTCTCAAAATTCTCATTTTATCTCACTGAGAAAAAATTAAAACTTAACTGATTAGTAGAATATTATCTGATAGTTAATTAGAGAAAGTAAGTTAAATTTGTGCCTGATGGTTCCTAATCAACATTATCTAAGCATGATGACAAAAGAAAATCTCTTTATACCATATCCAGGAAACATTTTGCCAATATTATAGGGGACAAAAGATACATATTTGCTGAAATACTTAAATTGTTGGTTAATCTTTTAAAGAAATTAAATATTAATAAATTAATTATAGCTACTTAAGTAGATTATAACAATTTCAGATTTTTATAAACTAAAGCATTTAATTAATTAAACATTTAAGTGATTATCTCCTAAGTGAAAATCTCATTTTCTCAAAATACATATGAAACTAAACTTGACCTAAAAGGATTACGTACACCTCTTTTTCAGCACCTGAACAATTACATTGTGTAGGAAAGCAGAGAAAATATATTTGTTGAGTGTCTAGAATATGCCAGTTCCTGGGACTGCTTTACATATACATGTTATTGTTTCTTTATCAAAATAAACTATTGAATAGGTGCTATTAGGAACCATTTTCAGAGCAATAAGAAGATGACAGAAGTCAATCCCTAGGTGGTCAGTTTCCAAAGTAGCATTCCTAATCTACTGTTCTAGTTCTCTTTCCCTCCCCAAATACTTCTTAGCCTTACAGACCAAAAGGAAAACCTTGAGAACAACTTCTGGTCTTCTTGATCTAAATATTGAATTTCAATCATTTCAGAAATTTAACTATTCAGTACAGCTTAGAGAAAAATGACTTTCTATCTTCTAGCTAGACAGGCATTATTTTGTGCACCAGCTCTAATAATGAAAATTATATACCAAACTCAAAACAGAGAAAAACCATCTTTATTTACTGCACACTGAAGTTGCAGTATTACACTGTACAAGAGGAACAGAAATAGATTCATCATCAACTCATTAAAATGAAACAATGCATCTAGGTTTATTACAAGTATCAGGAAAGCTGAAGAAATTCAGGGCTATAGTCATTTGAAGTCATGACATTTACATGGCAACTATATGCTGAATTAGTCAAATGTCAGTGCAGGTACTGAAAAAAATAAAAAGTATTCTGGCTATTTGTTTTGTTAGTTATCAGCTTACTTCATCCCAACTGTTTTTGCCTTGACACTAAAATCTCTTGCCATTATGTTTTTTTTTTTAAGCATGAATGCTAAAAAAATTTTTAAAAATACCTACATGGGAAATTACATAATTTATTATAAGTCTGGCATACAATTTTCCAAATTCCATAGATATAGTCCACAACAAATTTACTAATAATTATCATTTCCACGAATTCCTTCTAGTTTTTTTCTACTGGTTATCATTCCTGAAGATGGAAGTAAGGCTTCCTGGACTGATGATTTCATCAGTAGTTTAGTGATGCAACAAAAGCATCGTTGAAACATTAATGAGAATAAGCCCCATGCTTTCTCATTACTGCTATAACTCCAGCTCTAGCCCACTTTTTGTTATAATAATAATAATAACTTAATGAATAGTTGTTGATAAATGAATGAACAAAATAAAAAATGAATATTTAGATGTTAGTGCAGGAGCAGTTACTTTATGTGCTCTAATAAGAGTGACTTTTAAAAATTATTTAAAAGTGATTTAATGATTTTTCTTATGTATTTTAACTTTTGTTTATTTATATTTATTTTTTTGATGTGCACTTTCTTACATATTTTCCTTAATAATGATAACTATACTTCTGACACAGAAATATTTTTTAAGAGGGACAGAAATATTTTTTAAATATTTTACCTTTTCTTAAACATGTGAAAGTTCTTTCTATGCCAGAAATTTCAAATTGATAATTTTGGTATACCAAGGAATGGAAAGTCAAGTTAAGAAATGTTATTATATATCACATTACCATAACCAATAATTAAACCTTTATTAAAGCTTTTTTTTTCAAGATTTATTTATTTATGCATACAGAACTGGGGTACAGGCCAGAGGTGTTGGGGCGGTGAGAGAATTCACCAGAGACAGAGTCGGCAGAACAGGCCGACTGACAAAGTACACTGCTGAGGAGAGCAGTGGGCGGTCAGGAGAGGTCTGCCACGCCATGTGGGTCATCTCCAGGGCGGGGTCGGGATCAGACTCATGCTGAAGCGGCTTTAGCTTCTTACTGCTATACTTTAACATGCTGCAACACCAGGAAGGGCCCTATTAAAGCTCTTTTATCTAAAATGTATAATAGGTAGAACTGATGGAGGACACACACCCCTTTACAGATAAGGCAAATAGAGTATGAAGGTACTGCATCACTTGGCCACGCTCACAACGGTAACCTGAGAAGAGCTGGGATTAATCAGGGAGTTTTCTCCTTGGAGTCTTCTTAACTACATTACTTTGGGCATAGGATTTTACCTATGCCTGTTTCTCTCAGTTGCAAAGTAAGGATAAAAATATTAGATTGACATTATTTATAAAGTTGTAAGGCTAAAATAGGTACTAAAAGAACATATGTTCTGGCCAAAAAAAAAACATAGATAATAGATACAGAAGTGATTTTTAAAACCAGAGCAACCTTCAAAACGATGCTTGTTAAAAGAAGGCCATAAGAGTCAAAAAGTCTAGATGAACTTGCACTATGATTTAACCTCTGTAAACTTCAGCTTTGCCATGTATCAGACAATGATACCTAATACAAAGTGCTATCAAAAAGATGAAAAGATGGCCTCTCTAAACACTGTTCCCAGTGGCTGGCATATGGTTAACATTCAATAAATACTAGTTATTGCTATAATGATTTATGCTCAGCTTGATTAACTTAGTCCTTAGAACTAGATATTAATATTTAAATATTTATTAAATATTTAAATATTTAATTATTTAAAATTTTCATATAATGATATTGAAAGCAAAAGTATACCAAGTGATGTGATTTTTAAGTGCCAGTATAAAAATAATCCTCCCACCTCAAAAAAACCTCTCTTTTCAAACACCTGTCAAGGAAATTGGAGTTCCTGTGTAAGATACAACAGAACAGACCACCCTCTGAGATTCAAGGGACTATGGATGGCTTTGTCAAACCTTGTTGTGGAACTGAGGAATCAATCATTGTTCAGACATCAATCTCCTACCTTTCAAAATAAAGAGACCAAATAGATTAGGTAAACTAATTTAGAATCATGGACTTCCAAGTTAATGCATGAAAGGAATTTAAATCTGTTTCACCTTGGGAAAAAAAAATCAATTCCTAATCTTAGCACAAATTAATTACCTAGTTAGCTAAAAACCTAACACTGAAGAGTGGGAAACAGTGTGCTTATGATGGGATTTTGATAGAGTGAGGAGAAAAGGAAAGTCAAATCTTTAAGCATATTGTCTAGAAGTAGCTCCTTGGAGTTTAGTTCACTCGCCATCTCCTCCATGAAACACTCTTTCCCAGGCTTCCCTGTGATTCTCTCAGAATATCTGTGATTCTTCCACATCTAAGATGCATGTCCTTGAATGACCACCTATCTCCTTTTAGTTGTATTTCTTAATGGAAAGATTATATTTTGTTATTGTTGTTGTTGTAACATTGTTATACAACACTGAATGTGATTTGGAGGCATACCATAGATGGACAATCTTTGAGAATATCTCCTGTTCTCAACACCCAGCAAGGAAGAGGTGTTCAATTAAAAACTGACCCTTTCAAATAAATGATAAGATGTTAAGGAAGTGGGAGACCTATTAGCAGATAACAGAAACAAGAATTCATCTAGTACTTGAAAAGAGAATTCTAACAAAGGCTAGAGTACATCCAAAAAAATTAGACTCTTCTGCACTACAACTTTGCCATAGTTTACAGGTACAAAGATTTTGGTTTCCAAGTCTGTTCTGTTTTTAAGCCTGCTTTCAATAGGAACTCAAAAGCAGGCTTGAAGACTTGTGCACTCTTCCTTATTTCATTTATACACATTTAAATGTTACTCTTGATAGCTTTTTACAGGAATACATATTTGTATGGGACATACAAAAATGAGGTCCATGAAATGGATCGCCTGAAGTTTGTTTAAGTAGATTTGAACTACTTTTAATTCTCAGTTAGATGGTGTCTTACCGGTTCTCCTTTGTCCCCTTTCTGACCAGGTGTTCCTGGAGCTCCTGGTAATCCTGCTTCCCCCTGAACAAAAATGAATTTCTGCATTATATAATATTCTGCACATTGAGGTAAAGACATATAAATTATAAATATAAAGTTGACGATACTAAGATAAAGCTTTGCTCTCACCTGAACTGATGTTTATGACCCTGCTGAAATGAACCTTTCTTGTTGTTCAGGAGGCTCATTACTTTCCCTCTTTTTTTTCTTTTTTTTTTAAATTTTACTTTTGCATACCGAACTGGGGTATAGGCCAGAGGCTCAGGGGCAGTGAGAGGATTCACCAGAGACAGAGTGGGGAGCAGAACAGGCCACTGACGAAGTATACTGCTGAGGGGAGCAGCGAGTGTGCCAGGAGAGGTCTGCCACGCCATGTGGTCGCCTCTGGGGCAGGCAGGGATCAAACTCATGCTGAAGTGGCTTTAGCTTCTCAGTGCTATGCTTTCACCCACTGTGCCACCAGGGAGGGCCAACTTTCCCTCTTTTAAACACTAGTTAGCATTATCTTCTTGACACTTTCCATGGGCCAGCCCCATCATGCCCCCTGAATACTGTACTTGCTTTCCTCATGGAGCTTATTATACAGTGTAGGTTGTTAATGGAGACCCAGGTTTCTCTACACTTTCCCTTCATCTGCATCCCCATTCCTTTAGCCAGGAGGTGATGTGATGACGGGATGCATAATTTCAAGGGCATGTATTATAGACTAGGGTACATTCAGCTCTTGAAACTAGGACAAGTTTTCATTTCGTTTATCATTTCCTTGGCTATAGACATGGAAGAAAATCAACAAGAATTCACTCAACCTACTTTTAGCACACAGCCCTTAGAACTGCTATTAACATTCACAGAAGAACCACAGAAATAGACCCATTGGCCAAGGTCCCCAAACTAGGGACCATACAGATAAAGAGAAACAAATTTGTTGAGTAACTAAAAAAGCACGCTGTATATCCCCTTGTAATTTATGGCAGAAGGAGGTAGCTGGCTGGATATATGGATATATTGGACAAAGGCAGTCTATCATAACAAAGAAATATATGTAGAGTATCTTGGTGCATATGTTGATGAACAAGCACCCCCTAGTCCTGGTACACTAAGTACTCAGTACTCATGTGTCATAAAGGTGGTTTCTCTCTTCATCTTTCTAGTCATTCTCATTCAGGTCCTGGAAAGAAGGTTATAAGGGCTCAAAATAATCCTGATAAAACTCTAGGGAATCCTTAATCTGGGAAGAAGGTTATAAGGGCTCAAAATAATCCTGATAAAACTCTAGGGAATCCTTAATCCTCTTCTCTTAACCCATCCCAGTAACTGAGTGGTTGCAGCATTTTATACAACTACCACTAAAGGGAATGAGCACCATGCTCGTATTCAAGGGGTGTGGTTCACTATGAAGTGTGGTCTTTGATGGACAGTGACTAAAACTAGCACACCTTGTTGGAAATGCACTGGCACTGGTCCTTCACTTCTTGCTTTGCTGGCAGATATGCAGACATTTTATTGGCATGAGCTGGTACTGATGATACAGTACTTCCAAAGTCAGTTTGCTGTGGGCACTACAATCCAAAAAAAAAAAAAAAAAAGAGGTTTTAAGAAATGTGGTCAATTTCAAATATTTTGAGATTCCAAACAATGGCTCCTATGAAAGTAGGAAGACTGGAGTTACCTGCAAAAACCACTTTCTAATTAACCAAAGGTTGACACAGAACATGAAAATTTATCATATCTTCGCTCTTTAGTTAGAGGCCCTTTTTATTCATTTACTGCACTGATAATTCCCTAGAAATACATTAAAATGTTGGTTTTTGAGAAATTGTAAAACTATTAGAGTTGACTTGCAAACAACATAGTAATATAAAATCTTTACAGTAATACATTGTCACAGTAAAATAATTTCTATAAATGTACAGGCATGTGTTTTGTAAACAAAATATAGAATAAATGGATGTGATTTGAACTTTTAAAATATAATGTAGTTCAACAAGGTGATTGCAAAGGTATGTAAACTAGTAAATGAGTACTTTCTATACTCTAAGATGATATATATTTAGACAAAGTATATTTTATAACAGTCAATTGTCCTTTAAAGTTATTTGAAAGACTCCACTGTAACAGATAGGTAATAAATTTACAATTATCCAGTAGATTCAGAATATGATGGACAACATGAAGTAAATGTGGTTACAAATCAATGTATTTTTTTCTCTCAAAAAACAAATCCAGATGGAGAATCTGAAGAGGATAAATACATCCTTTGTTAACACATTTACCAAGCTCCTGAGCCTGTTTTATTACTCTGAATATGTAATTTTATGAATTTGCAATTTCATAACTCTAAATTTGCATTTTAGGGGAAATTGTTCACATGTTACTTTGTATACTATAAATTAGATATGCATGAAAAATAATGTCAGGATACAAAACTAAGACTGTTAGAGATTAGTTACTGTAGTGAGATCCTGGTTGATATTTAGATTTTTTAATTTGACTATTTTCCAAAATATATATTCATAACATTTGCAACAAAAAGTTATTTTGGAAAATGGGTAGTATTCTAATGCCTTTGAGAACATCAACAATAAAAACTGCAAAAAAAAAAAAAAGCACCCAGAAATATTGCAATTGGTTTCTTGTTTTTACCACAAGTTGTAGCTGTTCTCCAGATGTAATGACTACTTGCTTTCATATTTCTAAGTTCCCTTGTCCAAAAGTCACATTAGAATGAAACAGGACTATCACCATTGATCTCAGGTGCATATATGCTTTCCAACCAGTTCCTGCCCCACGACTTCCCAGTCAGACAAGCAAGACAATTTTGCTTTGGAGAACTGTTTCATTTTATTAAATTGGGGATGTAAATAACTTAAAAGTTTGTCTCGGCCTTCCCTATAAAACTGTCCACACTTTCCATAAAGTGCCTACAGGGAACATAAAATATACAAGCAAGGACTCACTCCTCCCCTCATAAACTTCTGGTTTTGATTTGACACATATTCAGTTAATTAGCCCTCAAAATTTTAATCACATTTCTCATTTATTTTCAACAATGTTGGTGATTTCTTTCTCCTCATAGTTTCTCTTCATTCTGTGTATGTAGTTTGATTGCTTTAGGAAGAGAAAATGTAATTAGTGAAACAAAGAAGTATATTTATAGATTATCTTCACAAAATTTCACCTTTGAAATGCTAAAAATGTCAATAACAAAAACATGCCTGAAATTGCAGGACAAAATTAGATATTAAAATACTGTAAAAAAAATACTCTGAGTTCAAACATTTTTTAAGAAACTACAGTTGGTTTCAGAATTAAAGCAGATGCACTTAAATTATATAATTATTTTTCTTGTACACTTAAGTGTAGCAAATCTCTAGTTTCTATTAGATTATCAGCAGATATCTATCAACAGAAGATAAGTAGTATTTTGAAATTTTACCTATGGTTGCAGATGAATTCCTACCTTATTTTTTACTTTCTGAAACTTCCAAGTATTTTAAGATTTTTAAAAAATTATTTATGCATACAAGAACTAGGTGTAGGCCAGAGGTACAGGGTTGAGAACATTAACCAGAGACAGAGTAGAGATAGAACAGGTAGATCTACTTAAATACACTGTTGAGGGGACCAGTAAGGGAGACTGGAGAGGTCTGCTGCACCATGTGGGTCACATCCATGTCCAGGGATCAATCTCAGGCTGCAGCAATAATAACATGATAGAGCTGAGCCCTAACTTTTGTGCCACCAGGAAGGCCCAACTTCTAAACAATCATATAAAAATGATTCAAAACTTCTTTCAGTGAGGTATGTCACTGAATTTAATTATTAAACCACTCCATCAACTAATAACTCCACCACCTGAACTTCTTTAACAGCTTTCTTATATTTGAGTTGAAAATATTTATTATGTGATGATACAGAATAGTGACCACTGGTCAAGAATAAAATGTGTACATATGTCAAGACATCACTGTGGTAGTTTCCAGTAAGGGAAAATTATTATTTTACATCAAAAGACCATAATTAATTTAAAGATACTTGTGGAGAAATAACATCTTTACTATTTTAAATGTGTGATGCCAGGAAGTCTAGATATTTCTTAAGTCAGGAGACTGGCATTCTAAATTAACTTTTTAGGTATTTATAGAAAGATATTTGGCTGGCTTTCACTTTACTTGGAAGGAGAGCCATAAACTTAGTTAAAGAAATGTTTTATAAAACCAAGTTAAACAAAACACATAATTTTAAAAGATGGGGGTATCCTTTTCACTCAACTCGTCACATTATTATTCTACTATCCAAGATGAATAGTTAAGTAATTACTTAACTATTTTTTAAGATTTATTTTTTTTGTATGCATACAAGAACTGGGGGTTCAGGTCAGAGGCATGGGCTATAGAGGATTCATTAGAGACAAAGTGGAGAGCAAAACAGGCAAATCTACTGAAATACACTGCCGAGGGGAGAAGCAGGTAAACAGGAGAGGTCTGCTGTGCCGTGTGGGTCAGTGCCTTAGCTAGGGAGCAAACTCAGGCCGCAGTGGCTGGTGATAGCATGACAGTGCTGAGACTTTAACCCTGTGCCAAGAAGGAGGTCCAACTACTTAACTGTGGATAAAACTTCTGTGTAATTTTTTGATGTTAAGTAGAATTCTGGGAAATCTAATATCAATTATAACATTTTCATCTTTTACTTGTCATATTTTTTATGAATTTTAGAGTTAATCCCCATAAAACTCATTTTTATTCCACCTATCTCTTTTATTAGTTAACATGTAGCCAAATCAAAAGCAATGTTTTGACTGTCATATGTAAATACAGGACAAGGAATTAAAGGAGAATATAAACATAAAAGTCCCCTCAGAGTATTTAAAACACAGTTGAGTACTTTTTAAAATAAATAGTGTAATATTATTGTTTACAAGAAATATATACTTGGCAGTTCAGAAAATCAAAATATACTTAGATCAAAGTATATTTATAAAGTATACTTATACTTTAGTCCCCCTATAGTTGACCTTCATTCAGAGTCCCTGATTCACACCCCCCAAAATCCTGTGAATTTCCTGTTTTTAGTGAGATAAAAGTTTCTTGCAATATGATTAAATGATTTTTGCAAGCATCAAAGAGGGGCCAGTTACCAGGAAAAACAACAAAGAGATTAGAAGATTAGGATTTAAGTCCCCAGATCTACCCCAGACCTCTAGGCTAAAGATAAAGTTCAATTTCAATGATCAATGATTTAAACAGTCCTGCCTAAGTAAAGAAGCTGCCATAAAAACCTGAAAGCATGGGGTTTGGTGAGGCCATGGTTTGGTAAATAGCTAGTGATTTGAGGCAACAGCACCCTTGGAGAGGGTATGGAAGCTCTGTACCCTTTCCCCCGCACCTTACTCTATGCACTTCTTCTATCTGGCTGCTCCCGAACAGTATCCTTTGTAATAAGTGGGTGATCCAGTGAGCAAATGGGATACTGTGAGCCACTCTAGCAAAATAACCAAAGCTGAGGAGGGTCTGTGAGAACCTCTGATTTAAAGCCTGTAGGTCAGAAACACAAGTAATATCCTGGGTTTGTAACTGGCATTTGAAGCAAATGGGTGGGAGGGAGGGGAGTCAGGGTCGGGGGGAATCTTGGGAGACTGGGCCCTTAACCTATGGAGCCTGATGCTCTCTCTGGATTGATAAGTGTCAAAATTTCTTGGTGTGGGAAAGTCTCTACATACGTTCATGCTGGAATTGGGTCTGGGAACTCTTTCAAATGCAGTCTTATCTAATAACATAAAATGGAATCCATCACCACTACTCTACAGGAAGAGATACTAAATCCAGTTTTTTGGTTTTTTTTTGAAGCAAGGATGGAGCTGGAAGGGAGTATCCTCAGTAAAATAAGCCAGAAAGAAAAAGAAAAGTATTGAATGGTCTCGTTATAGGAGAGATGTAGAGAAGACAAAAAATAAATCATAAAAAACAGTAACTATGGGCCCTCCCTGGTGGCGCAGCGGGTTAAGGCGCTGCACTGAGAAGCTGAAGCCACTTCAACATGAGTTCGATTCCTGACTGCCCCAGAGGAGACCACATGGTGTGGCAGACCTCTCCTGGCCCACCCGCTGCTCCCCTCAGCAATGTACTTTGGCAGTTGGCCTGTTCTGCTCCCCACTCTGTCTCTGGTGAAGCCTCTCACCGCCCCTGAGCCTCTGGCCTGTACCCCAGTTCTGTATGTACAAATAAATAAATCTTTAAAAAAAAAAAGTAACTATAATAAAGTAAAAATCAAAATCACCAGGCAACTAGAGATAAGAGACATTCTGTAGGAGAAGAGGAGGAGAAAGACCAGGACAGGAGTAGCAAGAGCACCAGGGACTGTGGTGATGGTTCAGGGGTGAACTGGTGGGGGTCATTTCACAGTGAAATCATACCTTGTACAAAAGTAAGGGATGATGTAATGAAAATATTTTAAAATTAAAAAGAAAATAATGGATGATAGTTATAAGAAACTAACAGTTGTACAGTTAGGTTGGGAATCTTAAGAATGAGAGGCCAAAAGAATTGGACTTAAATTTATGCCAACAGAGTCAACAAAGGTTTTTAAAAAAGAATAGATGACATGAATATGCACTGTTCATGTTTATTAACTTTATTCCTTAGCATAGGAGGTAGAAGAGCAATATCTTTCAATAATAAATATTTAGTGAAAAAGTAAGTGAACAAAGCAACAATTCAGAGACGTATTCTAATTATGTTGGGGAAGGGACGGACTGATGATAGCAAAGGCAGTTGGTACCATATTGCAACAATCCAGGCAAGAAATTAAGGTGAGCTTTGGCAGTACTGGTAGACACAGATGAGAAGTCTATCAGAAAGGAAAACTATAAAGGATGGAAAAACAGGCTACAAGAGGGAAATAAGTGATAATGATGCGTGAGCATAGATTTAAAACTCTTGTAACTGGAAAATAATTTTTCTGTTGGAAAACAGTTTGGGGAGAGAGGGATAAAATCTCTTTTATTTATGCTGGTTCAAAGTGAGGATACTTATCCCTGAAGTTCAAGACAAAACACTGGATTAAGTGTTCCTGTGAAAAGAAACTTTGGTAAAACACTTTCTTAGAACAAATTAATCACATGGCTTCAGCAGAAGATATTCAGTGCTGTCCTACATTTGGACTCTATAGACCAAGCAACTAAAAGGTAATTGGTGTTCTACATTCCTCACAAGCCATGGAAATTAACTTACCTTGGTATCTGATATTTCACAGCATGTCTCTTGAGCTATGGAGTTTGAGTTACAGTAGATTTTAAGTTGGTGAAGTTCAATCTATTTTAAAAAAAGTAATAAAAGACACCAGATTAGCTTTTTTGAGAGGCACACTTAGTCACTTAAGAACTATGGTAATTAACTGGAAAGAAAAAAGTTAATACAAAAAATTACTCATAGATATCTTTAATGGTTTTCTTTGTTTTAGGGTTCACTATTCTATGGACCTTTTGGGAACTAGACATTGACTTGGTTATTGAGAGCAATCTATATATAAAAGAAACCACATAGTGCACACAATTGAAAAGCTTGGATAGTTGTTTCAAACTAAAATAAGAGACATATTTTGCAGTAAAAATTCTAGAGAAAAGTAAAGTAAAAGTTGGAAAAGACATTTTATCTATAGTTCCAGACCTCTGTCTTGAGGCAGTGAAATGGATGAATATGTTTTTGAAAATGTATTTTTTTTATATTCATGGAGTCTGTCTAATACTTATGGGTTTTATATTATAATGACATATACCTGAGAAAGATTATTTGCTCAACAGATTTGGCATTTGGACAGAAATTAAAAGTATTTCAATGAAAGCATTATCATGCTTTTCAATGTAAGATCAAACAGTCATATAGAGCACAAAGAGTACAAACTTGATAGAATTTCAATATGACAGATGCTTATGCGGGCTATTTTAAATCAGCTTGTGATTACAAATTTAATGATTTAATTTAATTATCATTTAATTGTATGATTTGATTTATGACATAGGTTGTGAACGACCTTAACCTTCCCCCTTTCCACTGTCCATTCATAATTCTATCTTTCTCTGACTCTCCCACTTCTTTCTTTGTCTTTCAATTGAACAGAACTAGAATATGCATTACTTTGAGGTCAATAAATACTGTTAATAGAAAGACACATCTGTATTATTATAATAATGAATTCTATGAGAGCAGATTATTTGTGGCTAGTTCTGAATCTTTACCCCAAAACAATAACAACAAAAAGTAGGAAAAAAGCTATAACTATTAGTTAACACTGATAACTTACCTAATTTTATTAGATAAATAAAATTAATTCAAAGTGTTAGGAACTCCAGACACCTTTTAGATTCATAGCATTCTAAGATTTTCAATAATATGCAGAATTATGAGGTAAAAGAAATAATGATTCCTTTTCTATAACATTTTGCAAAATTACTGAAGTAAACTTTTTATTTATAAAGTTTAAATTGCTTCTTACATATGCTAAAGTAATATACTTATTAAATAGAATATAGAATGGGGATTCCAATTAATTGTTCATTTTAAGTAAAGTTAATTTATCATCATCATTGTTATCAAAGTCAATAAATATTGGAATCATACTATATCATCCATGCTGCTTAGCCCTGCATATGAATTATTTTACCTTACTGAAGAAAAATTATCAATTTTTGACAGATTACAACTGAATCAATGCCTATGATATTGCAACTCCACCAGCCTAGTTTAATAGTGCTTTTTCTATTCATTAGTTATTTTAGAATTTTTCATTGACATAGTACTTTAGAAGAAACTTTAGGGCTAAATCTATACTGACCCTTGTCACTGGATTTGTTTGTTTAAAAAAAAATCCTTTAGGGCCCTCCCTGATGGCTCAATGGGTTAGGACGCAGCACTGCAAGCTGGCCGTAGCTGCTTCAGCATGAGTTCAATCCCAGCCCCCGAGGTGATCCACATGGTGCAGCAGACCTCTCCTGACCTACCCCCTGCTCCTCTCAGCAGTGTACTTTGTCCCTTTGCCTGTCCTGCTCCTCACTCTGTCTCTGGTGAAGCCTCTCACCACCCCTACACCTCTGGCTTGTATCCTAGTGCTGTATGAATAAAATAAATAAGTCTTTGAAAAAAAATCATGACTATTTTTCAAAAAGATATTAAAAAAATCCTTTATAGGAAAAATTCATGCTCTTTGCAGCAACATGGATAGAGCTGGAAGTTAAATAAGTCAGAAAGAAAAAGAAAAATATTGAATTGTCTCACAGGAGGAATATAGAGAACAAAATAAAGGATCGGAGGAAAAGTAGCTATAATGAAGTAAAAATAAAAATCATCAGGTAACTACAGATCAGAGACATTCTGTAGAGGAGGAGGAGGAAGAACAGGGATAAGAGTAGGAAGAGCACAAGAGACTATGGTAATGCTGCACGTGGACAGTTGGTTTTAGGAACTTCACAGGGAAGTCATACATTGTACAAAAATGAAGGATGATGAAATAAATATATCTTTTAAAAATCCTTAATATCAGTTTTTCATCACTTTCTCATGAAAGCACTTAAATAGTATAAGTAAAATAAGCTCTAGTCACCAGAATGTTTAAAAAAACTTTGTGAACTCAACAACAAAAAATGACAAATAACCCAATCAAAAACTGGATAGAAAAACTAGAAAAATACCTCTACAAAAAAAGAAATGCAAGCTGCAAACATGAAAAAAGATCAACATCACTTATTATCAGTGAAATGCAAATCCAAACCACAAGGAGAATCACCTCAAACCTGTGAGAATGGCCCATATTAAAAAACAAAACAAATCATGACTACAAATGTTGGTGAGGATGTGGTGAAAAGGAAACCTCTTACACTACTGATGTAAATATAAACTGGTCCAGCCACAATGAAAAGCTGTGTGGAGGTTCCTCAACACACTAAAAATGGATCTACTCTTTTTACCATTACATTACAATTGCTGGATCATATGGTAGAGCCTTTACTTCTATCTTTATTGCAGTGCCACTTACAATATCTAAGATATAGAAACAATCCAAAATCACCAATACAGATGAATTAATGAAGATGTGTTATATATACACAATGGAATACTATTCAGTGATCAAAAAAGATACACTCATGCTATTTGAAGCAAAATAGATGGAGCAGACAGGATTATGCTAAGCAAAATAAGTCAGGGGGGAAATATATACACACCAGGAAGTTTCACTTACATGTAGAATATAGAGAAACCAAACAAAATTTCAGGGAAATAAAAAAGACAAAAGTTGGAAACTGACCATAGAGGCATACAGGATGGGGAGAGTGAGCAGAAAGTCAAAACAGGAGAGGGAAAAACATGGGGACTATGTTGATGGGATGAAGCACGATGCTATGGTGATGGGACAATTACAAGAACTACACCAAAGGGGAGAAATCAAATGCTATCCAAAAGTTAACAAAGATGTAAGAAAGTAAATAAAGGAAAACATTGTGAGTACATAAAACATTTTTATATTGCAGTAGATCTTAAGACTCACAGAGCCTGTATGAAGATAAAAAATTAGTCCTCTTAGGATGACTGGATTAAAAAGATGTGGACACTTACAAAATGGAATATTACTCAGCAACCAAAAATAAATAAACACATGCCTTTTGCAGCAACATGGATGGAGCTGGAAAAGATCATGCTTAGTGAAATAAGCCAGAAAGAAAGGAAAAACATTGGATGATTTCACTCATAACGAACCAGGCGAGAAAATAATAATGATGATGAACAGTTATATACCAGAGACATTTTATGTAGGTGGAGTGGGGAATGTGATCAAAACAGTAGTGGGGAGGGAAATGCACTGGACAATGGTGATGGCACATGGGTGATTTGGTGATGGGAAGCCCAAGGGGATTACAACTGAGATGGAAACATTCACAAATGATGTAAAAATAAACTATTTAAAAATAATTAGTCCACTTAAAGTTTTAGTAACTTTAACTTAAAGAGTTCGATTATATTCTGCATCATTTTGATATTGCTTTAAGTATATCCTCAAATGAACTAAGACTCCATATTCAACTGTAACACTGTAATTTTCATATTTTATCTTTTTATAAGGACATGCCTGCCACGCTTCAGCCTCAGATTCTGGGATTAATTCTTTCCTTGGTGAGTGGATAATGAATGAGTCACAAGACACAACACTCAACCTTCAGAAGTGAGCTCAGAGCTCTGGCTCCATTCTTGCGCTAACTTGCTCCTCTCTCATTGCACTCTCTCCCCCAATAGTTATGAACTTACCTCAGTATGCTTTTTGCTTCTTCCAGTTCCTGTGGAACAAGAGCCAACTCTGTTCTCACAAATCCTATGGTGCACAAAATTCTAGTTCCAAACTACTGTACTTTCAGTAGGCACTCCTGTACCCCTCACCACTGCTGGCTAGACTTGGAAGCCAACTTCCTATCTGCATCTATGTCACAGACTGCTGGAAGTTCATCTCTGATGTCCTAGTTGCTGTTCTCCACTTCCTTCCTTGCCTGTGGAGAGATTTCTCTGAAATGTCTGCATAGTACTAATGTTGTTATAATTAATACTGTTAATATAATTAACAGCCACTATTTACTGACATAGACTTCATCCTTCCCATAGTCTTCAAGATCTTTGAAAATAAGAGCAGCAGTTTTGGTTTTGGTTTCTTGTTGGTTTTTTTTTCCATTTTCTTGTGCCAGAGTTGAAGTGTGTATCTATCCCTAAAAAAGTAAATGAATCTACAGGAACACACTCTATATACTTATAATTAGTAAATCTACCAACACTATTTAATAATCGAGGAAATGGAAAATCCAATAAATCAAGAGCCAACAAGATAAATTAACAAATCCTTAGGGTAAAGTAGGTGAACTAGGATTTACAACCATGCCTTTTAGATCCCTAAGCAATTTAATAAAAATCCATGATGTTTTACACTAGCCCTAGCTATGACGTTCTCACTGCATTGGTCATTGTCTTTAAAGGAAAACAGTTTAAAAACAGTATGTTTGATATCCCTCTCCATAGATGAGAGATTGACCAATTGATCCATTGTCCTATTTTGTTCCATTTACAGGGGACATTTAGAAATAATACATTGGTCAAATATCTATTTGCACAGAATTGTATTTTCAGAATAAAACTGAACCATCAAAAGCCCAGTGTTAACATTAGCAATTCTTTTTTTTTTTTTAAAGATTTATTTATTCATTCATACAGAACTGGGGTACAGGCCAGAGATGCGGAGGGTGAGAGGATTCACAAGAGAGAGAGAGCGGGGAGCAGAACAGGCAAATCAACGAAGTACACTGCTGAGGGGAGCAGCGGGCGGGTCAGGAGAGGTATGCCACACCATGTGGATCTCCTCCGGGGCAGGCGGGGATCGAACTCATGCGGAAGTGGCTTTAGCTTCTTAGTGCAGTGCTTTAACCTGCTGCCCACCAGGGAGGATCCAACATTAGCAATTCTTATTGGTGAACTACATTCAGATTATTTTTATAGATTTTTCCATCACTCTACCTATAAGAAAATGTGCAATCATCAAGTATAGATATATCTCACTGTTTTAAAAATTGCAGGCCTTATTCTCTAGAAAAATCAATAAAAATCTATATTACCTGAGGACCACATGCAATTTTTTAAAGACCTTTACATCTGAAAGGGTTTTACTGGGTAATTTTTTTCATCTAAATAATCTACTAGGGCCCTCCCTGGTGGTGCAATAGGTTAAAGCCCAGCACCGTGAATGTGGTTGCAGTCACTTCAGAGAAGTTCAAGTCCTGGCCAGGGAGGTGACTCACATGGTGCAGCAGACCTCTCCTGTCTAACCTGCTGCTCTTTTCAGCACTGTATTTCAGTCAATCTGCTTGTTCTGCTGCTGACTCTGTCTCTGGTAAATTTTCTTACCACCCACTGCACCTCTGGCCTGTACCCCAGCTCTGTATGATAAATAAATAAAATCTTTACAAATAATCTACTGATACAAATAATGCCTGCATTTCAGTCCAACAAAACTCTGAAAAGCCCTTACACCCTTATGAAAAATAATCTGCAATACAAAACTATTATGATTTTGAGGATAACTAAATAGCCTATTGTTCTTGAATAAAAACATTATATAATCTGGAACCATTTAATTGGAAGTTCATCTTTTTCCAGTTCTTTCTATTCAAAACACGTGAATGTAAATCAAGCTTACTTTTTGTATTATAGATCTAAGATTTAATTTTTAAGACTTAATTTTAATAGCTTATTTTTTATTTACAGGTTTGGTGAAAACAGATAGAAGATAATATATGTAAAAATGTAAATACTAGCTTTCCTTCTTCACACATCTGATGGCAAACTAATTTTTACAGTGGTAAGAAGGGATGCATTATATATTAATTAAAAGCAGAAGTTTTTAAAACTGATATTTTGTTTGAATTCTAAATTTTTACTAGTTCTATTTCACAACCAACATCACAACTCACATCCACAGGCTTGCCATCTGAAGCTCGTGCTGCGATAACAGTCCTTCCAAGAAAGTCCACAGCATCCCGTTCATCAGTATGGCGGCTTGCAATTAAATTGCAATCCATATAGAGTGAAATGCCCCGGGATTGTACACCAATGCCAAGTTTATGCCATTGACGGTCAAACAAAGAACGCAGTTCTCGATTTTTAAAAATGTAATTCAACACATCTCCTTCAGCAGCTTGAAACATAAATTCCACCACCTTCTTTCCACCATCAACTACAATAGAAACCTGAAAAAAAAGGAAAATTATCTTAAAATGTTTTAAAGCCAGAGTTCAAAATTATTAAAGCTCAAAATCAAAACTCAAGGTGAACATTAGTAGAAGTTCTTATAACGAGGTACTTAGTGAAATGTTTAGATGAACTTATGCCCACCCCAGAATTGTTAACCTGACACAAAACATCCAGCTACAAAAATGGGTTAGATATGGAATTTTCTGGTAAATATAATGTGCATCTTTCTTGAGAGATAATATCTATGAATATGTATATATGTATCTAAGGGTATATGTGTGTGTAAATATAGACATATATTTCTTCATGAGTAATTCAAAAATTCAGCATTACTAATTTAAAACTAAATTGTGATCACTTCTCTTAGCATGGAAACTGAGATCAAATTCCCTAGCTTTTTATCATCTGGGTGGTACAGAGAAAATGCATTTCATGGTGGACATATTCTTGCAGTGCAATTCATTTTACCATCATAAAATTGTGACTATATCAGCAGGTTAAAAAAACATTTTTCAATACCTCATTGGATATGTATGGAAATCAATACAAATGTATGGTACCAATAATCACCCTCTTGCTGCAGTACTGCACCCCCTTCTTCCTGCTAAATGCCATGTTCTCCACAAGTATTCCCAGATGGCTTGCTCTCCCTTTGTTCCAGTTTGAGAAAGTGTCTTTTCTTTGTCCATAGCATCTGCTCAATAAAATTTTTATTGATGGACTATTTCATCTTTCAATTCACTAAGGATATAGATGAAACAATGACTAACTTTTAAAATAATACATAATAGAAAGATGATAAGAGACAAAAACTGTATGTCAGTGAGATAACAGTTAGTGTCAATGAGGTAGTTGTGATGGAGGGTGATTTGAGCATCTTTAGAAAAAAAATAAGAATTTAGTAGTCAAAACAAAACTAAAACCAAATCTCTGCTAACACACTAGGCCAAAATTTGGTTTTAGTTTTGGTTCATGGTTCCTTACCTGTGGCATATTCTGCTGGTTTAAAATCTGCCACAGAAACCACCGTTCCCTTTTGGTGCTTCTTCGTACACGGAACATGGCTATTATGGCATATTCCTCAGGAAGGCCTTGGGGAAATATCTTCCTATGAGAGAAAACAAAGAACTATCATAGGAAAACCAAAGATGGCCAAGCGAAAATCTAGGTACAAAGTTCCAGTAGGTTAGATTACTATGTTGTTATACTCACTTACTCAACAAGATGTTTCCACTAAGAAGAATCTTAGAAATAATTAGACTCTGGCAAAAAGTAGAGATTAATAAATTAAAGCAATGGTACCTCTGGATTTGTTAGCAGAGCAAAGAACAGAGCATTTCAATGAACCCTGATAACCATAAATGTGTATTTGCCAAAGAAGTTTTAGCATATCTTGCAAACGAGTTCCTAATACTGATTTTCTATTATTAAAGACTGACAGTAAATATAACAAATAGCTTTTAGCTTTATTTTTCACTCTTACAGAAATTAAATTAGCAAATTCTTTCTAAGTAGCAAGGGTGAAAAAAATCAAAAGATTGTCCAAGTATCCTGTCTCAGTCTTGTTTCACACTCTGGTATCACTGGATTCATGAAAAAACTCAGTAAAAAGAATGATCTATTTTGCATTAAGATTTATCATATGAAAACAAGGAGAAGAAATACATTCCTCCAAGCTGAATTGTAAATTTATTTATTTGCACTGTATACAAAAATGCTGCAAGGCAGGAATCTTAATTTTCCTTTAAAATGGCATGACAAAAAGCAGGTAAGAATTTTCTTAGGAATTAACATAACTGGAAGTTTTTATATATAAATAAAACCCATACATTGAGATGGCCACTACTAATATGAATAATAGACTAAGATTGACTGAAACTGACAAACTGTCATGAGAATTATAAAACTTTACTTTTACTCTTTGTATTAGAAACAAAGTCACATGTGGGAGGGAAATCAGGAAAAAAAATATGAAAAAGCTACTCTGGCCTAAAGTTCTTATTTACTTCTTGCTTAAACACGTATACACATATTTGTGTGTGTGTGTGTGTGTGTATTCATTTTTATTTTTTGAGGACATATTCAAAGGAGAGATAACCATCTCTATTATTCATTATTATATTCCCTTTGAAGTGAGCAACTGATTAATAAATCATCTGTTTTCTATTCCATCAAAATAAAAGAAACCTTCTAAAATAGAATTCTCCCTGGAAATTCACCAGTGGGAAACTAAAGTTTACAAAGTCAATTGCTGTAATTTTTAAGAAATGGTGTTCATTTTTAAATAAATAAATTAAATTAAAAAGTAGGCTTCAGGACTGCCATGTTCTAGAATTTGACAATGTTATTTCCTGATGTTTGTTCTTCTATCCATTGTACTGAGCACCTCTTTCAATATGCATTGAAAAAATCTTAAGTTTTTTATTACTTTTCCATGTCATTTTCTCTTATATCCTCTTCCAGGAATTCTCTTTTGCAGACAAGTGTTTAATTCCACTGTTTGTGTTTTAATTTCAATACTCTTTCTGCTATATATTTTTACCCTTTCTGATATATTTTTCTACCTGCTTTCTGGGATATTTACCTAACATTTCCAACCTTTCCATTTAACATAATTGTTATACTTTGATTTCTGAAACTCTTTTCAATTGTTTTTTTTAATATCCTGAATGCATTACTTTATTATCGTATGTTATTAATTATGCAGGCTCTTAAATGTTTATTTGTACATACTCGAGAATCTCCATTTCATTCAAGTTAGTGTTTCCTGTTTGATAGTTTGATCTCTCTCTATGTTTAAAGATATAATCTAATTTCTGGCAGCTTTTTTTTTTTATTTATAACCCATCTCTATTTTAAAATGAAGGATTGAAGCATTTATTACAAATCCTATGTATATAGACACCAAGTCTCAATGAACTTGCTTCACCATACAGTATGATCAGAAGCCTGGCGTTTTCCATGAAGATCTCTAAAATGTTAATACAGGGAGGTTTCTCTGAGGAGGGTGAGGTTGGGCATACACCTCTGAACTCTTCTCTGATTGGGTAAGGAAAAAGGAGGTAAATTGGGGGCCTCATGCTTATTGTTTACTACACACACACCCTTCACAAACTTCCACAGAGACTGGATTCCCACAATGATGAATTTGTCAAGTGTTTAATTGACTTCTGTCTCATAGAATGTATTGTAATATTTCTCTCTGTAATTTTTGTCTCCCATTCTACTGTCTTTGCTTTTCAGATTAAAATTCCTTGAAAATCATCAATCTCTTCCTACCTAAAGCTTCCTTTATTATAGTTTACAAATATGTATGTCTTCCACTGCCATAAAACAAACAAAACTTTCTCCATTTTTGCTACACCATTATATTACCTTCCCATCTCCACTAAACTTCTTAAATGGGTAGTCTGAATATCTACTACATAATCATATATTCAGCCCTTAACCTGCCTGCATTCTAAAAGCATTTTGAATCTTATACTACACTGATGTCTTCTAAATCCTCATTCCCCTCAATCCTTCAGAAGGTTCTGATAAATACATTTATATTGACCAAGAGTCACAGTCACGTGGATAGGGGCACAATCAGGAGGCCAAATTATAAGGTTGCTGAGGTTCTTCATCTATCCTATTCACCTTTATATTCCAAGTATATGAAAGAGACACTCAATAAATAATATAAGTGACTCAACAAATGAATTTAGATATAAGCAATCTAAATCTGAAAACAAAACAAACACAAAAGCAGGAAAACCACATGAGTTTCTCAGTCTAACTTTGGTTTTTTACCTTGGATAAAAATTTGCATAGAAAAACTTTAACCTTTGTGACTTCCTTGGTGGCGCAACAGGTTAGGGCACAGCACTGGAAGCTGGCTGCAGCCACCTCAGTGTGAGTTTGAACCCCAGACACCGAGGTGACCCACATGGCACAGAAGACCTCTCCTGTTGCATCCGCTGCTCCCCTCAGCATTGGACTTCATCCATCTGTCTGCTCTGCTCCCCACTTTGTCTCTGGTGAATCCTCTCACTTTCCCTGCACCTCTGGCCTGTACCCCAGTTCTGTATGCATAAATAAACAAATCTTTTAGAAAAAGAAAAACTTTAATTTCCTCTTAGACTTCTACAGGAAAAGCAAATAGAGCAAAGAAAGTTAATTATGGCAAGTGACATTAGTCCTCACATAGAAGACACATGTGTGGAGTAAGGAAAACTGAGAGCCTAGTCGAGCTACAGGTACAGCTACTATTTAGTTAAAGCCAGTTTTACAATATGGGACTGTGGATCCAGTGTTCCCAGATCATTCCATTTTTCAAGAGAAGTCACATATTCAGCTTGTTATCTTAAAAGTTATCTTTAATTTTTCCAGTTAATCCACATTTTTCATAAACATGGTCCAGATCAGCATTATAAAGGTCAGATGAAACCAGTGACTGCTAATTGTCATGGTTAAGTATACACAAATTTTTGTTTTTGCTAAATACCCACAATTAGAGCCCTGAGAGGCTCAAAGTGATGAAAAGACAAGGCTTTTAACCTGTTTCTTAAAATCAGCTGGAAGAAGGAAAACAGTCACAAATAATACAAGGAAGGCATATAAACCAAAAGAGAAGGAAATACCACACATGGCCAAAACTAGATCTAAAGGTTGTAAATGAAAAATGTTGTGTTGGTAATGAGATTTCTTTAAAATATTGTAACAGCAGAGCAGGAAAGAAACCTGTGCATGTGGAGACTGGGAAAAACTGCAGCCAGATGTGTTTCCATCACCCAAAGAGAAGGGGGTAGAGAACATATGGAAAAATCTTACCTCAGAGTCATGGGTTTCAGATGAGTGCAAATATGTTATGTTGTCTTTTCCTGCTGTATTTTGTCACCATTTCTATCAAAACACACTTGTTCACCAAGATTCTTTACCCAATGCACTTCTCCCTTTATGATCTCTTTTCACTTCAAAAGCTGTCACCTCTACATAATGATACCTATGTCTGTATCTGCAGGCTTACTATGTGCCAACCACAGACCCACCTTTCAAAATCTTGGAGCTGTGTAACTGAACATATTCTCTCTCCTGCACATAGCCCACAAAGGAAAAGTGTCACAATACCAATACCTCTAAAATACTTTTCTAAGGAAACCTTTAACATTTCCCTTTCTAAGTTTATTCTTACCTCATATTCCCAGTCTCTGTTAATAATACCATATTCCTAATCATACTGGAAGTCTTGGAGTCAACATTTACTTTTTCATTGGCTTGGTGTCCCATGTTTCATCTTCTACTGTGTCATACCACACCATGTGCCTCTTTAGTCTTGACCAAACACCTCAGTCTATGACCAACACCTTGGTTCTGGCCCTCTTCAATTCTTACCAATACAGTTTCATTCACATTCTCACTCATTCCATTATCTCTACAGCTTCCTCTTTAATTCACCATAAACTACTGTCCAAGGAATCCTCATCTGAAGAGTTCTAATAATACATCAGTTGTAGATAGCTTCATGGCAAGCATCTTAGTAGCAAACAGTTCTCTGGTACAATTAGCTGTAAGGAAATTTTGGCTTCATTTCTCCATTGAGGAATAAGAAGCCAACTTTTTACAAATAGATATGTTATTATTTTCCAGTAAGGGGGTTAGCTTTACACCTTTTGACTTTATTAAGTATGGCTAGTGAGAAACAACAAAAAGTACAAGACAAGGAATGAAGAAATAACTTGGAACACACATACTTCCACAAAAGAAAACCAGTTATTTATTCTCAATTTAAAATACCAGTTCACTACTCTAGAATTGCCATTAACTATATTTCACTGAGTTTTTTTGAATGTTCTGCTTTAATGTTTTTTCTTTTTTCTTTTATGAGGAAATTGCCTATTTTCAGTTACTACTGTTAATATTCAGTTAATACAGTTAATACATCAATACTGTTTTCAGAGATATTTGCAGCACATCTACTGTACATGTATATCTCCTCTCTTCTCTAGTGTCTCCCATTGCCCAACTCCTTGGTCTCATATTCAAGGCATATATAGTTTAAGCACTGAACTTCCTAGACAGTTTTATACCCATCCCTTCCCTAGTAAATATTGAGTCAAGCAAAAGAAC